AAGATCATTGTAAGAAAACTTTCTTATTTCTATGGCTTCTTACATGTAGTAGTAGGCATTCTATAAACGCTGGTAAAATGTATGAATAAATTTATTATGAATGAATGCATCTATTTCCTTCTTGTGGATTGGCTCAAAGAGCCAATCCTTTTAGAACGACTGACAAAACTTCATCTGTGAGAGGTCACAAGTGTCCAGTAATATTTTGCTAGAAAGCCCACTGTCTTTACAATTTAGACGTCCCCGATGCAAGGATGCCTGCCGAGAATAAGATCAGAGGCTCATGGGGTGTGCTAGCATGGGCAGAGCTCACACTTGCTTTGAAAATATTAAACTTGAGCTGGAGTAGGAGGCTCCCACACTTATGCCAAGATCTACAACACAGGCAGGGAGCACACATTCCTTTGGCTGCTGTGTTCATTATGTGCTGTTTGCTGGGGACTGGCCAGTTCTGAGCCCATTTGTACCCATCTGATGATTTTTCAAAAGAATCAATCTGTAAACAAGATCAACAGGCCGACACCCCTGAGATATGACACACACTTTGCTTGGAGCTCCATTGCTGAGAAGTGGACGGTGAAAAGAGAACTGGACTCGTCAGAACACCTGAGTTGGAGTCTTGGCTTTATGGTCTCAACAAGGAAGGGCTCTCCTCCCTCTTTATCTGGAAAAGTGGCAATGGCAATACCTACTAAACAGAATCCATGTGCACAGAACACGTTTGTGAAAGCACTTTGTAAACCACAAAGCGATAAGCTGGCCTATCTCAAAGGATCATTACCACCAACAGAGGGGCAGGAACATTGGGTGCTGAGTGCCACTGGACTGCTCTGGCTTGGAAAGGAAAACAGCACATGAGATATTCTCAACAACCAGTGACTTCAGGTTACTTCCATGCACCCCACTCTCAGATATATTAAGCTAGATTTGCCTCAAAGTTAGCCAATCACGCGCCTGCTGCCTTTGCCATTTTTGCCATGGACAGCTGAATCTCAGCTGTGTTATAATTTATCGAACATTTCCCCTTACATTAAATGTAAGTTAACCCTATTTCTGTACATTTTCATCTTGTTTTAACCAATAAATCATGGGTTTGACATGCTGGTAACACATGCTTCTGCACTGCATACCACATGTGGGGGACATTGTATTAACCAAAGATCATTGTCTCGCCTAATCCAGAGGGGAGTGGTCTCTTCCCCAGAAAAGGGAGCCTGCAGAACCTTGTGTGGGCCGGCACAAGGAATGACTTGGATGTCCCCAACGCCGAGCAGGAGTGCAGTCCTAACATATTTAAAAGGAACCTCAAACTACAACCCATTATCTGACTACAAATAAGAAGAATTATTTACATCTATAGCACTTTGAAGTTTGAAGAACACATTCATGGTCATTATACAATCTGCTCATGAGCAAAAGCTTGGTAGCAGGTGGGCTAGATGACACCACCCTTTCACACAAGGGGCTCAGAGATGTTAGAGGATTTGTACAAGATCACAAGGAATCAGGGGCAGCATCACTAAAACCTCTGTCTTCAGCTCATTTCTCTGTATCCTTCTCAGAGGGAACAATGTTTTTTAAAAGACTGCTTTTCCCTCTCTAGGCAGAACAACTCTCTCATGCCACCTTTTTATCCATCCACTCTTCTACCTACCCATTCATCTATCCATCAATCTACCCGTTCATCTATCAATTCGTTCACCCATCTACTCATCTATTCACTAACCCATCCATCCATCCACTCATCCACCCATCCATTCTCTTATCTGCCCTTTAAAACATGTATGCATATCAATCCATTCATTTACCCATCCATCCATTGATCCATCCAACCACTTATCCACTACCCCATCCATCCATCCATCCACTCAACATCCGAGAACCTCCTTTGTGTGTGTCACTATACGGAGCGCTGGAACTACCTACCAGTTTTTGTTCTTATAAAAAGAAAGTTTTCATTTTGAACAGGGATGGAAATAAGACTAATAACTGCATTGGTTTCTTCTCATTTGAAAATCTACCATACATTTGCCCTGAGGATAGCAAAACATAGTAGTATGCTTGAATTCTTCCTGTCAAATGAAAGAAAATACTTGGGAGTCTGACAACAAAAGATTCAGGAAAAGACCTAGTTAATATGAGTCCTCTCCTTCGTAAGTACATTAGAAGTACAATAATTATGGTTACGTTGTTGGATCACTTTAGATGAAAAGGGCACACACTCAATTACTCCACATAAGTAACAAGGCCAAATAATTAGAACTATAGCCCTGACAGAGTCTTGGAACTTTTTGGAAGAGCTAGTATAAGCATCTAGGCGTTTTCTCAGACTGCCGTTCAGAGTTGAGATCCACTTATCTTCATGATTGCACTCTACTTGGTATTTTAATTCCTCAGTTTCAGAGTTGAGGGCAGTAAACCAATATCAACGATGCAGGTGGCCTCACATATTGAGACCTCATAAAGGGACATGTTCCAACAAAACTTCAAAAATCATACAGAGCAGAGTGAAACAAAATATGAATCTACTATCAACCAGTATAAAAAAGAAAGGACAAAACTCAAACACGCAAAAGAAAATAAAACATTTGAAATTTCTAAATAAAAAACAAAACCTCAACACTATTGACAAAAATTTTAAAAAATTGCCCAAACAGGCTATAACGCCAATGAAATTACTTTCGCCAAGTTTCCCAGTCACCAACGACTGCCTTATCAACGAATGCAACAGAGCAGTGGTTCTCACGCTTTAGTGTCCATCAGAGTCACCTGGAGGGCCGGTTAAAACACAGATTGCTGGGTTCCACTCTCAGAGTTTTGGATTCAGGTTCAGTTTCAGATTCAGTAGGTCTTGGGGGAGCCCAAGAATTTGCATTTCTAAATTTCTGGGTGCTGCTGCTGGTATGGGGACCCCCCCACCCCTTTGAGAAGCACCGCAATAGACCATCTCTAGTCCTTATCTTACGTAACTCCTCAGTTGTGTGTGACACTGTGGACTACCCCCAGACCTCTGAATGCCACACTTCTCTCGCTTTCCCTGCCATCTTGCCTCTTCTCCTTTTTGGTATCATAGAGTTCCTTGGAATTTTATCCTGGGTTTCTGCTCTTTCACTGAAATCTTACTGAGCGACCTCATTCATTCTGAAGCCTTCAGTCACCACTTATCTGGGAGCCCCAGGCTGCAGCTCCAGCCAGACACAATGTGAGCTTCACAAGGACACTTGTATTGTCTTGTTCACAGTTGCATCCCAACTGCCCAGAGCGTGACTGGCACATTGGGTGTGTTCAATAAATATTTGTTACTACTTCCTAGTAGATATTTCTACCTAAATTTTCCACAAGCTAACTGGCAACTGAAATTAAACGTATTCAGAAAGAAATATATGAAAGAAGGATATTTATATAAACTAGATTCTTCCCTCATATTTCCAATGGTACCATCATCCACCCATTTACGAAGATCCAAGAAACCTAAGGACATTCTTGGACCCTCGCCTGTCCAACACAAAGTTGTGTTGATTTTACCTTCTAAATCTCTTTCAAGTCCATCCGTTTACCCCTATTCCCACTGCCACTGCCTCATCTAGGCCACTCCAGTCTCAGCTGGATGCCCTTGGCAGCCCCCGAGCCAGTCCCTGCCATAATCTCCGCACCACACAGCAGTCAGCTGAGAAACCGGAACTCATCCTGCCACAGCCCGGCTAAAGCCTGTCCAGGGCTGCTCCATGCCTCGGGCAGAGCCCCACCCTCCCCAGGGCCTCGCCCTCTTTCTCTGCCTCTCCAGGTGCAGTTCACACTCTTCTCCCTCAGCCCTGCACTCCAATCATCCCCCACCTATTTTGTTCCTCCCACCCTCCATGCCCTCTTATTTCTGTGCCAGGACTCTCATCTGGAATGCTCTCCTTTCCCTCCTGCACATTTCAGTTGACTACCTTCTACTCATTTTCAGTTCCCAACTTCAAAATTCACATCCTCCAAGAAGGCTTCTCTTTTCCCTGCAGAAAAACAAAACACCCCAAGGCTTTCTCCGGGAGAAAGCTCACGTCTACACAGCGCTGGGCCCAGGGCCTGGACTCGGTCCTATTTGCTGGAGGAATAGGCCAGCTGGATTTCATGGGGGGAATTTTAAAGGAAATCATTTTTCTAGGTTGAGAGCGGTCAGAGTTGTGCTTATATCTGGGAAAGGGCATGAGGAAATGCTCTGGGCGACAGAAGTATTCTATATCTTGTTCTGGGTACAGGTCACATGGGGGTATACATCGGTAAAAGTTCTTCAGCTGTACACTGAGGTTGTGCATTTGACACACATAATTCATATCTCAATAGAAAGAAATGAATTATTTTTATAGTAGAACTCACATGAGGATACACAGCTTCCTATGGGCTAAAGCAATTCATGTGGGATAACAGGATAACAGTAGAGCTCAGTCACAACCAAAGGCATAAAGTTCCGTTAAGATGCTCATTGTTTTCCAAAGATCCAGAATTAAAAACATGGTGGAGCAAGTCTTTAAGACTTTGGTTTGGAAATGTGATTGTTTGAGACTGACTATGCCTTACTTAAATTTGAGGCCCTGGGGCCAGCCTGGTGGCACAGCAGTTAAGTTCCCACGTTCTGCTTCAGCGGCTCAGGGTTGGCTGGTTTGGATCCCAGGTGTGGACGTGGCACCGCTTGGCACACCATGCTGTGGTAGGCATCCCACATGTAAAGTAGAGGAAGATGGGCATGGATGTTAGCTCAGGGCCAGTCGTCCTCAGCAAAAAGAGGAGGATTGGCAGCAGATGTTAGCTCAGAGCTAATCTTCCGGAAAAGAAAAAAAAAATTGAGGCCCTGAAATATTTTTGGGGAAAGAAATTATTTCAAAGTTATTCTCCACAGAATCACATACACTATTTAAAAACCCCATGTTACAAATTAGAGAGGTTTGAGTTAACGACGTATAGTTCTATGTCAACGTTTGTGGTATCTTAAACTTCGGGACAGACAGCTGTTGCTCAGCTAGGTTCACTGCATTTTTAATATGATCTCTTCCCCTCTTCAGAAATTGCAAGACCAGGACACTGGCCAAACCATACCGTGTGGGCGAGTCCCTCAACGCCCTTTAAAACAAACTCTGCAATACTGACTTCTGGGGAAGCAAATTTTCCAAGCACATCAAGAAATTTAGGCTGGTCTAGTTGTCTTTCTTAGACTAGAACATAAAGCACGGAAGTTCAAGGTTCCTTTTCTAACCAGGAGCAAAAATGCCGGTGGCTTCGGAGCTGGGTCTCTGTGGCTTCTTTTTCACAAGGAGAAGGCCCCCGTGCTCTCACAACCGGCTCCGGTGTGTGTCTGCTTCTACTCTTGGTTTTATTTTAACCAAAGTTTCATTTTTCTTATCTCTATTTGCCACTGGTACTTTGACATTCAAAAATCAAAGGAGAGAAACTTTTAAAACTCCTGATTACCTAATTTACTGAAGATATTACATTAACCTCATCATCATTATTACCAAGTGAGAGAAAAGAACCTTTTAATTATATCAAACTCTTTCAGTACCAGGATTAGAAAAGCTGAAAGCACCCCAGCCATCTCAGTCTGTGAGGAACGTAGCATCACTGTGCCCCTTTTCCTGATGGGAAAACTGAGGCAGCTAACCGGCAACCAAAAGATGGCTGCACGTCCCACAGCAGACGTACTTATTCCTAATGTGAGGCACTCTGTCGCTTTTTCAAAGTACCACCCATGAAAAGGAAATAATCGGATAAAGTTGGCGTTACACAGGGATGAGAGGGGAGGGGAGGCTGGGGGAGCTGGGATGGGCGACGGTCAGTGATGCTGATGCTGATGGTGATGGTGATGGTGGTGATGGTGATGGTGACGCTGGCCAGCTCCTCTCCTGTTTCTCCATCACTGCCTGTCCTCTGTGCCTCCTCCGTCCCCGCGTGGCCTCTGCCCGGAGAAACACAGCCGACAGGATTTGCACCCAAGCCGCACGTTCGCAGGCAAAAGGCTGAGGCGCCTGCGAACCGGCACCCCCTCCCCGAGCCGGGCAGCTGGCGGCCCCGAGCCCCACTCTGCCGCCCGCGCCCCCCTAGGCGGTGGCACCTCTCTGCGCCCGCGCCCCCCGCGCTCCGGCACCGCCTCGCAGGGCGCGCACTGCTCCAGCCCCCGGGCCGCGCGCGGCGGGAAGACTCGGCTGGCCCAGCATCCCTGCAGGCCGCGCCCGCGACCCCCCGCCCGCTCCCCACGGAGCCCCCAGCGGCCCGGCCGCCGGTCACTTACGCCTGCGCTGGGCCCCGCCGCCCGGCGGCGCCGAGACAAAGGCTGCGCAGCCGCTCCGCCGGCTGCTCCAGGAGCCGCGGCTGCCGGGGCCGGGAGGAGGATGGGGGGCGGAGGAGACGGGGGGAGGGGCAGCGGGGGAGGGGCAGCGGGGGAGGGGCCGCCGCGGCGCCGGCCACCCGATGGCAGCGTCCAGACCCAAGTCCTCCTCCGTCGGCCCGCCACCTTCCTGAGCGCCGCCCTCCCTGGGTCCTCGCCCGAAAACCTCCCCTAGGGGACCAGGGGACCGCCCCTCAGGGGGTGGGGTGAGAGGAAGAGGAAGGGAGACGTGTGCGTGTGTGTGTGTTCCTTCTTAATCATGATCCTCTCCATCCACCCCCGCGTCCCCGAGCAATCTTAGGAAAATGCCAGACTCCGCCTCACCTGTGCAACTCTGGCGGCACCCCCACCTGCCTCCTTTCCGTGCGCGCACACCTCTGCTCCTGAAGGTCCAACCATTTTGTAAGAGCAAAACCGAGACCCGGCAGGCGAAAGTGGCCGAAGACGCAGGGCAGGTGAGAGGCGAGGCGGGGGAGAAGGCAGGACCGACAACCGGTGCAGAGCAGGTCCCAGGCTTACCTGTTTCCCTTTCCTCTGCCCGGCGCCCGCGCCTGGTGCCAGCGGGATGGGCAAGGCTGGAGAGTGGGGCCAAGCCAGGCGACCCTTCACGGGCCCACAGGGAGTCGCGCAGGCTTCCCTTTCTGGGAGAAGCAACACTTTTGCTTGGCTCAGTTATTTGCATCTTGTTATGAATAGTAGCTTTGATTTATTTTTATTTTTAAAACTTTTCTCTTAGGGAGTTTTCAAAACTCAAAAGTAGAGAGAACGGTGTAATGACCCCACAAGTGCTCAGCTCCTGCTACAAAGTTTGTCAACACTTTCTATCCTTCTACTCCCCCTTTCTCCCCATCACAGAGGCACACTGAAGACTTTTAAAAAACATAATCACAATATCATTATCCCACTTTTCAAAATGAAGAATTCGTTAACATCGTCTGACTACGATTTATTCCCAGCTGATGGTTATTCAGTGAGCGCTTATTATCTACCAGAGCCGTGTGTAGCGCTTTACCTACCCTGCTCACCTTTGGCGCCGGCTCTCATTTTCTCTAAAGCTGGTGGTGGACAAGGGTCGTGCACATTGCTGCTGGCCTGCAGTAGCTGATGGAGTGTGAATTCGAGAGCCCTGGTCCTCACTGTGTCCCAGACCCCTTGAAAATTTTGATGGAAGCCTATCCTTCCAGAAAAATGCACACACACAATTTTGATCTAAATGCCAAGAGTTCCAATCCAATTCTCAGAGGCTTCTGGACCCAAGTGCAGGTTATGAGCACAGAGCTGTGCTGTGGTGTCCTATGCAGCCCCTGGGAGCCCCTAGGCGGGGTCCTGAGGATTCTGCAGGGCCCATTCTCCACCAGGAGAGCTGGCTCCCGTGTTGTTGACCGGGGGTTCTGGGCCCAAGCACAGCAGGAGTCAAGCTAGAGTGTGGGACCTTTTACCCCTGGGAGGAGGCCCTGTATTTACGTCCTGTGCGAGTATGGATGGAAATGGGTTCTCAGCTGTGCCTCAGAAGAGCATCTTTCCGGATGAAGAGACCTGAGCTGTGCTGAGGGCGTCTGGACACTCAGCTTATCTAAACCCCCAGATGGCAGAGTGGAGGCGTGCCCATCGGTGTGCGTCTTTGGGAGCAAGAGGTAGCCCAGCAGAGCAGTTGAGATGCAGGCTGCCGATTCAGACCACCTGGCTTTGAATCCTACAGTTCCTGCTAGACTTGGGACCTTGGGCGAGTTATTTAACATCTCTGTGTCTGTCTCCTCATCAGGGGAAAAATGGGGTTCTCATTCGAACCTGTCTAGTTGGGCTGCCAGGAGGCGTTTACACAGGTCCAGTGCCTGGCACAGAAAGGTTGGGAAGGTGCTCAGAGCATTGCTGCTGCTTGTACCCTCTCAGTGGGAGAACCACAGAGACTTGAGCCCAGAAGACCGCTGCTCCAGAGGATTCACAGCCTTGCTTGAAGCGGACAGAAAGGGCCAGTGCCTGCTTTCTGTTGCAGCAGAAGCAGCGCATACTTACGACAGAATGCCTCTTCTCTCTTTGACTGAGGGCCGGGGGTGGGGAGTGGGGGTGTGCAGACGCTTACTGGCAGGCCTCAGTGGGCCTCCTGAGTACTGTGGGTTTCCTTACTGACATGGCTCCAGAAAATGATCTTTGAGATGCTGAAGGGACGCGTTCATCCTCTATCCACCCACCCCAGCCCAACTGGTCTCAGTTAATGGAACATGACAGTCCCTCTCGTGCCTCCCCAGCCTCAGCTCCTCTCTGAAGTCATCCCTGACAACCCCAGGCAGAGGGCAGTCTCCCAGGCCTGAGCTCTAGGGCCTGCCCTGCATTAGTGATTAGAGCATGTTTTGTCAGCCCATCTAGACTGTACATGTATTGAGAGCAGGGATCATAAGCCGTAGTCTCAGCATCCCGCATAGCATCCTGTCCGTGGCTGGAACCAGCAGTGATGCAAAGAGTCCTTTATTGTACACACACATAATAGACCAATCCTCCCAAGGCGGGTTCCATGTCCTGTAGCCAGTCCAGCAACGGGTGCAGGTGGCTTGCACCTGCTCAGCTGCCAGCCCTTCCCCTGGGCAGGGCAGGGCCTGAGGCGGAAGAGACAGGCCGCTGATTCTGAGCCTTCACCTCCTGCTTGCTCTATGTTCTCATCCCTGTAATGCAAGCTTGATTCCTGCCGTTGGCATGGCGCAGGATCCCAGTGACCTTTTCCTGAAGAGAACCAGCCTTTCTCCTCTCTGCCTACCTTCCACCTCCCCTCTCGCCTCTTTCCCACTTCCCCTCCCTCACTTACAACTCTCGCTTTTCCTTTCCCATTTCATAATATGGATTATATTGATTTTTTAAAACCTCTTGATGTACTTTTCCTGTATCAATTAGGGATGATGGAGATGAATACAATCAAGACTAAAGCTTTTGTAGAAGGAGACAAACAAATGAAGGGCAGTGTCCAGTTCTCCTCAGGGGAGCACTGCCAAACCGTGGGCTTTTGGCAGAAGGTAGAATACTTTAGGGCTACTCAGACCTTCTGGCTCTTCTTGGGAATAAATTTACCGAAGAGCCCTAAGGTTAAGAGGAAACAAAACAAAGAATGTCATTAGCATCCATTTGTTCTTTTTGGATATTTTGACACTGCGCCAGCTCTAAGAACTCTATAAACTATTAAAATGACAAAGAACTTTAGTTACGATAAAGAAACGGAGTTTGGTTTAGCTAAATGGAAGACGATACGAATGTGAAAGGACAGCTTGCGGTGATGAATGGATTCAACTGCCGTAGAGATCAACTTACAGAAGATTAATAGAAGGGGAGATGTGTAATATCTGGGCTTCCAGCTGTTGAGGAATGCTAAACTTATTGACATTGAAGATAAGCTTAGATAAAAGACATAAAGCCCAAATGGAGAGAAAATACTTTAAAATAAGCCTAATGCTGGCAACTAAATTAAGGCAGTAAATATATCTGTGGTTCCAGCTCATTTACTATTACAGAGACTACACATCATTATAATGAACAGGCGATTATTAACCACAAAGTGCCCTATGCATCACAAGGAATGTGAGCCACTCACTCTTCCACATCGAAGGAAATCCAGTTGTCCTGACAGGGAAGCTTTCACACACCAGTTGGAAACTAAGGAAACTGAGAACATCATATGGGATAGTTTTAAAACATCAAGAAGTGGGGTCTGTGTCCCCTCCCCTCGAATGTATATGGGCTTGGAACTGCTTAGGTCACTAGAGAAAGACGGAAGCATCGGTGTATGGTCTTCTGGGGCTGGATCACAGGAGGCGTGCAGCTCTTGTCTGGCTTGTTTGGAACACTTACCGTCCAATGCTCCCTCCTGGGATAGGCCCACTCAGAACCCAGCCACTAGGCCGGGAGAGGCCCAGGCCACATGGAGAGGTCATGGAGGGGTGCTCAGGTCAACAGTCCCAGCCTTTGAGGCAGCTCAGGCCAGGCACGAGATGTGTGAATGAAAACGCCTCCAGATGATTCCAAAGTCCAGCCTTCGAGTCACCTCCAGCTGAGTGAGTCTTTCCAGCTGGCATCCCAGACATCGGGGAAAAGAGACTAGTCATCCCCTCTGTGCCCTGTTGAAATTCCTGACCCGGAGAACCTGTGAGGGTAGAAAAATGGTTGTTTAATGCCACTAAGTTCAGGTAGTTATGGAGCAACACAAGCCAAGCGGGAACATCAGACGATAAGAAAAACGCACCAGATGCAGGAGACAGATTTTGCCTTCAAAAAGCTCACGGTCTGCGAAGGATAGTGGGATACAAGCTGAACAGGAAGGTTGGGGGCTTGCTGAATTCCAGGCTGTGCCTGTCCTTCCTAGATGCATGGCCCTGGGAAAGTGATAGTCTCTGTGCCCAGGGTCCCCATCTATGAAGTAAGGATACACTAGCACCTGCTTCACAGGCTGGTTGTGTAGAGTGAATACCTGTGAAGCACTTCGAGCATGGTGAGCCGCCCATCAGTGCAGCCATTGTTCACGCTGTCATGTGCCGGCCACACTTACTCTGTGACACAATGCCGCAGAAAGGGCTCCCGAACCTGGTCATATCACCAGGGATTTCTGTTTCAAGAAAAGTAGATTCATGTAATGGATTTGATTAACAGGCCCTATGGTTTTATGAGTTCACAACAGCTGCCTTTAAATCAGAGTTTTACTATCTTTTTTGGATTGTGACCTGCTGTAAGAAATACTTTGCCTATTGTGACCTAGTACACACAACACCTACCACTACAAAAACCACATTAAAATGTTCATCAAACAGTTCTTGCCCTTACCATGTGCAGTGCACTCTGATATTTTCTATTCTGTTCTATTTAATTTTTCAAAATCCACTAAATTGATTTCATAACCCACTAATGGGTCGAAATCTACAATTTGAAAAGCAGTGCCTTAAATAATCATTTTTATATGGTTTCCTTGTCCTAAACTTTTCACTGCTTTTTTCTTCATTCATCTAACTCTTCTCTCTCTGGAAGTCACTCCCCTCCAGGACAATCTACTGCCTCCGCATCCTGATGGGCAATCCCGATGACGCTGGACCGCACACAGTGTGCTGTCACTGGCTGCTCGCTCAGTGCACTCTGACCGGCCAAAGCTGTTTTCACTACATAACCACAGCACATTTAAAATCAAATTCCAGAAAGTGCCTTGCAGTTAAAATTTTACACTGCCTGTTGCTGCATGCCAGCTTTGCAACTGTTTTTTGTCACTGCCCATTATAATTAGTATGTTTTGTTACTGGAGTCATTAACCCAGCACACCATGCTGCTCACAGGAAATAAGGC